CTCAAATAAGTAATCTTAAACTACACCTAACAGAACTAGAAAAAAAGAATAGCAAAGCCCAAAGTCAGCAGAAGGAGAGAAATAATAAAAATTAAAGAAGAAATAAATGAAATAGAGACAAAATAACAGTACAAAGGATCAATGAAACTAAGAGCTGGTTTTTTGAGAAGATAAACAAAATTGACAAACCCTTACCCAGATTCACTAAGAAAAAAAGAGAGAAGGCTCAAATAAATAAAATTAGAATTGAAAGAGGAGAAATTACAATGGATACCACAGAAACACAAAGGATTATAAGAGAAAACTATGAAAAACTATATGCCAACAAATCGGACAACCTAGAAGAAATGGATAAATTCTTAGAATCATAAACCTCCCAAAACTGAATCAAGAAGAAATAGAGAATCTGAATAGACCAATCACAAGTAAAGAGATTGAAACAGTAATCAAAGACCTCCTAAAAACAGAAGTCCAGGACCAGATGGCTTCTCTGGAGAATTCTACCAAACATTCAAAGAATATTTAATACCTCTCCTTCAAAAACTATTTCAAAAATTTGAGGAAGACGGAATGCTTCCTAACTCATTCTATGAGGCCAACATTACCTTGATATCAAAACCAGATAAGGACAACACAAAGAAGGAAAATTACAGGCCAATATTGCTGATGAACACAGATGCAAAAGTTCTCAACAAAATATCGGCAAACCAAATACAGCACTACATTAAAAGGATCATATACCATGATCAAGTGGGATTTATACCAGGGACACAAGGATGGTTCAACATCTGCAAATCAATCAATGTGATCCACCACATTGATAAATGAGGAATAAAAATCACATGATCATCTCAATAGATGCAGAGAAAGCATTTGACAAGATTCAACATCCATTTATGATAAAAAGTCTCAATAAAATGGGTATAGAAAGAAAGTACCTCAACATGATAAAGGCCGTATATGACAAACCCACAGCCAACATCATACTTAATGGTGAAAAACTGAAAGCCATTCCTCTGAGAACAGGAACAACATAGGGGTGCCCACTCTCGCCACTCCTATTCAACACAGTACTGGAGGTTTTGGCCAGAGCAATTAGGCAAGAAAAAGAAAAAAGGTATCCAAATTGGAAAGGAAGAAGTGAAACTCTCGCTGTTTGCAGACAACATGATTTTATATATGGAAAACCCTAAAGAATCCACCAGAAAACTATTAGAAATAATCAACAACTACAGAGAAGTTGCAGGGTACAAAATCAATTTACAAAAATCAGTTGCATTTCTACACACTAATAATGAATTAGCAGAAAGAGAAATCAAGAATACAATCCCATTTACAATCACAACAAAAAGAAGAAAATATCTAGGAATAAATTTAACCAAGGAGGTGAAAGATCTATACAATGAAAACTATAAGACACTATTGAAAGAAATTGAAGAAGACATAAAGAAATGGAAAGATATTCCATGCACATGGATAAACATAGGTAAAATGTCCATATTACCTAAAGCAATCTACAGATTCAATGCAATCCCCAACAGAATCCCCACGACATTCTTCATGGAAATAGAACAAAGAATACTAAAATTTATATGGAACAACAAAAGACCCCAAATAGTCAAAGCAATTCTGAGAAAAAAGAACAAAGCTGGAGGCATCACAATCCCTAACTTCAAACTACACAACAAAGCTATAATAATCAAAACAGCACAGTACTGGCACAAAAACAGACACACAAATCAATGGAACAGAATTGAAAGCCCAGAAATAAAACCACACACCTATGGATAGCTAATCTTTGACAAAGGAGCTAAGAACACACAATGGAGAAAGGAAAGTCTCTTCAACAAATGGTGTTGGGAAAACTGGCCAGTGACATGCAAAAGAATGAAAGTAGACCATTATCTTATACCATACACAAAAATTAACTCAAAATGGATTAAAGACTTGAATGTAAGACCTGAAATCATAAAACTAGAAGAAAATATAGGTAGTACACTCTTTGACATTGGTCTTAGCAGCATCTTTTCAAATACCATATCTACTAAGGCAAGGGAAACAAAAGAAAAAATAAACAAATGAGACTATATCAGACTAAAAAGCTTCTGCAAGGCAAAGGAAGTCATGAACAAAACGGAAAGACAACCCACCAACTGGGAGAAAATATTTGCAAATTATATATCTGACACAGGATTAATTTCCAAAATGCATAAAGAACTCATACAACTCAACAACAAAAGAACAAACAACCCGATCAAAAAATGGGCAGAGGATATGAACAGACATTTTCCAAAGAATATATATAGATGGCCAACAGACACATGAAAAGATGTTCAACCTCACTAATTATTAGGGAAATGCAAATCAAAACTACAATGACATATCACCTTACACTTGTCAGAATGGCTATAATTCTAAGACAGAAAATAACAAATGTTGGAGAGGATATGGAGAAAAGCGAACCCTCATACACTGCTGGTGAGAATGCAAACTGGTGCAGTCACTACAGAAAACAGTGTGGAGAGTTCTCAGAAAATTAAAAATAGAAATACCATACAATCCAGCTATCCCACTACTGAGTATTTATCCAAAGAACACGAAATCAACAATTCAAAGAGATTTATGCACCCCTATGTTCATTGCAGCATTATTCACAATAGCCAAGACGTGGAAGCAACCCAAGTGCCCATCAACTGATGAACGGATAAAGAAGATGTGGTGTATATATACAATGGAATACTACTTAGCTATAAAAAAAATCGTCCCATTTGCAACAACACAGATCGACCTTGAGGGTATTATGTCAAGCCAAATAAGCCAGACAGAGATAGACAAACACCATACGATTTCACTCATATGTGGAAGATAAACAAATACATGGATAAAGAGAACAGATTAGTGGTTACCAGAGGGGAAGGGGGTTGGGGGGTGGATGAATGGGGTAAAGGGGCACAGATATATGGTGACGGATAAAAATTAGACTATTTGTGGTGAGCACGATGCATTCTATACAGAAATTGATATATAATAATGTACACCTGAAATTACACAATGTTATAAACAACACGACCTCAATAAAATAATTGAAAAAAAATTAAAAAGAGACAGAAAAAGTCACAAAGTTTTTAACTTGGCCTGGGATGGTCCAGAACAGGAAGAGTAGCAGGTCTGGAAGACAGAATAAGCATTATTATGGAGATGCTGAGATTCAGGTGCTGACATGGCGTTCAACTGGAGATATACAGTACGAAATTCATAGTAAGGGCCCAGAGCTCAGAAAACACGTAAGATCTTGAGACAGATGAAATCACGAAATTTTCAAGAATATAAAGATGAGAAACAACAGCAAATACCTGGGGAGCCCCTACTCTTGGGGATAATAAGAATAAGTAGAGCCAGAAAAATAAATAAAAGAAAAGAAGCAGAGAAGCACAGGGACACAGAAAGAGAGATTTCCAGAAGGCAGGGTGATAAACCATAGCAACTGCAGAGTAGAGCTGAGGATGAAGACTAAGAGAAGATGCTTGAGTTTGGGGTAGACGTTATAATCAATCATTTGCTAATCATTTCTCTGCTGTTGTGAGCTGATGCTCTGCCTTTCAGCCATGATAAACACATTCTGGTTCAGTCTGTAAAGTATAGTCAGAAGGTTCTTCCCTTAGAATCAATCAGGAAGCATCAGGAGATACAGCTAATCAATCTACATCTCTCAGCAAAATTATTCAATAAACGTTTGCACTCAACTCTGTACTTTGACACCCAATTTACTAAAATTTACAGTGGTAATGTATTCCCGGGGTATAACCCTGAAGATATAGATCAAGAAAGTCTATTCTCGGGGGCCAGCCTGGTGGCATAGTGGTTAAGTTCTCGCACTCCGCTTCAGCGGCCCGGGGTTCACAGGTTCAGATCCTGGGCGTGGACCTATGCACCGCTTATCAAGCCATGCTGTGGCAGGCGTCCCACATATAAAGTAGAGGAACATGGGAACAGATGTTAGCTCAGGGCCAATCTTCCTTAGCAAAAAGAGGAGGATTGACAACAGATGTTAGCTCAGGGCTAATCTTCCTCACCAAAAAAAAGAAAGAAAATTTATTCTTATTCTGTCCCTTAAAGGGCATTTTCTTGTCTGTAATTAATTATGGGGTTTCATTCTGCACCTTTTCTCTGTTTATGTTAACTAAATACTAATATTAAATAAAAGTTTTTCAAGTTCTTTCGAGTAATGTCAGACAAAGAATTTGATTCTAACACACTGGAGAAGGAAAAAGATAAAGGAAAGATTCAGTAAATTATCAAGATATATCTCTAAGTAACTTTTGGAACTCCTGAAGCTATGCTGGAGTTTCATGTCCTCTGTTATCTTAAATTTGATCTAATTTTAATATCCTATTTATAATAACTTAATAATCCATGATAGAGACAATTTCCTGTATTGTCTCAGAGCATATTGCCTGGCCCCAGCATCAATAATTATCATATGTGGTTACCAATTTGAAGGGCCAATCCAAGAAGACGTTTGGTTATCATTTGATAAATCTAACCTCCCAATGAGATAGTAACCTCCTTTAAAGAATAATTTCCCCCACCTAATTATTCTTTAAACTCTTGCATCCTCCATCCAAAACCAAAATGAAAGAGGCACAGAACCTTGCATGTATTAATAATAGATTTCAAATAAATATGTGGCGAATGATTAGTTGATGATCATTCCCCCACGGTATCCAACCCTCTGATCCAATCAGAGCAGAGGTAGAAACCAGACAGTGAGAAAAAAGTAACCATTAATTATAACCATTTTAGTTTCTGTACAATCTATGCTGTGTAAAACATCTGGATACACATTACAGACCAAGGCAGCTCAAGACATCATATTTAACTCAAACAGAAATGATTACAAACTTGTTAAAACGGGATTTTCTAAAAGCAGTTAAAATGCAGTATCCCACCAATCACATTTTTAAACTTATGTTTTCCTACATGAAATTTCAAAACTTTACAATTTAAGTAGAGTCTCTTTGGCAGATTCCATGTGTCTCATGACAATGCTCTGAAAAGTTGACAGCTCTAATGCATCTTGGCGATTGTGAAATTCTTCCACATCCACTAAACGTAATTTTCTGCAAGAGATAAAAATGAACAGTGATTTAAGTACGAGGTTTTCTGCACTTAATATTTTTGCTAATTGATCTCTTCTCAAAAAATGTGATACACTTAGGTTTTGTCATTAAAATTTGTGTTTCATAAAATTAAATATTCAAGAACATAAGATATTCTAACTTTAAAAATAACTAATATAATCCAATTCAACAGGAACACAATATGATATTAGGAAACCGCACTGTTAAGCAGAAGAAGGTTGCAATGACTGGGATTTGATGGATAGTTTAGGCTGATTTTTGCTTTCAAACCAGAACAATTAAAACAGGAAAAGAGGTAGCACTCAAAGCTTACAGGGTCCCCTGCTTCTAACACAAAAATTGCACCCTCTCTGAAGAGAAAGCATCCCTGATATTAGGGAGTCATGGAGTGAGGGAGTTCTCACACTTAATTAAGACCCAGTGTATCACAATCTTTTGAACTTGTCTGGTTTTGATTTTTTTAGAAAACACAGTGCTTACTCCAGTCAACAGTTTTCAACACAACCCCTTTTCTGACTACAGTGCTATGAATCTTTGTAATATATGTGGTTTACTCACCTAAGAATTTTCTCTGGCAGATTAAAATAAAAGAACAATATTACCTATTAGTATCATAGTGTTATTCACCTCAATTTAACTACAGATTCCTTCCCTATTGGAGGAACTGTTATTTAATTTCCATGTGATTAAGTGATTTCTGTTTTATCTGAAAGATAATAAACACTATTGAAAACATCACACTTAATTTTCACTTAAAGACCAATGTAAAATCCTGGTTAGTAAACAAAACACATTTCAAATCTATTTATTTATATTCCTTTTACACGCTAAAATTCATCTCTTAGGCTATAACGCATTCAGTACATGGTGTCAATAATACATTAGGCACAAAGTAGGTTTGACCATTGCTGAAGCACCTTTGGCAATGTGTTATTCGGGACAACTGAGCAGTTTTCAATAAAATACTTCTAAAATGTAGCATAACAGCACATACTAAACATAATATGCTCTCCAGGCTTCTTGATCAACGTTTTCAACATGCTGTTTCATTTTAAAGCTGCCGCTGTCAATCAGGTACAGGTGCACATGGTGGGAAGCACACTGAATAAGAGTATCGCTAGGGAAGGAGCCCTGGAATTCGCTTTGCCTCTGAACCACCAACCCGTTTTCCCTGCAGTTCCTTAGTATTGGATTTACCAGACAATTCTAGGGGCAGGCCACCCATCTTTGAGGTTTTGAGATTGAAAGGCCTTTACAGAACTTTTAATGTACAACAGCTTTCCCTGAAGTCTCTGCTGATAACACTTCCCATTTGGTCAATAGGCTGAATTGTTAAGATGATGGGAAAAATACTACCTTTCCTACTTTCTCAGGACAATCTCTACAAGAATCTAGCAGTAGAACAATAGTTTTAACCACTGGTTTAAGACTATGGAAAGATCAGGAAAAAGAAGATTACTCACTATCCATTAGCATGAACTTGGTTAGCAGAAGGAAAATGTTTCTAAGTCTCTAAAAGTTTTGTGATTATGAGTCTTCTAACCACGAAAATCTCTTCTTCATCTCAATTTTCTATTAGTAGAGCCAAATAACAGCCTCAAATCACCCCGACTGTGAACCTCAGGACCTTCTCTGAACTCTTCCTATCCCTTACCTGCCACATCCAATCAGATATAAATTTCTGTAGACTCAGCTGTCAGTCACGTAGCCTTCCCACCCTCACACCTGCCACTTGATGGTCATCACAGGCTGAAACCCACCTTGGCCCATGGGTCCATAACTGATTTCAAGCAGCACAGATTTCAACAGTCCTGGCCCAACATTCTGGACTCAACACCTAGTCAGTCTCTGACTTTGATCTCTGGTTCTCAAAGCTAATCTCACTTCTTACTGGGACCAAGTTGCCCCCACTCCAAGTGCCTACAATTTTTGCTTGTTCCATGAACTTTTCTTTCTTAGAAACATGTCTTCTTCTTACCAGTCCCCCTCCTTTGTGACATTCAAAGTAGCACATTTTAGCGTTCTGCATTTGCTCTTTTCACTTATAATACATCCTGGAGACCTTTCCATATTAGCACATTGAGATTTTTCTCATTTGTATTGTATAGCTCTGTAATATTCCATTGTGTGCATGTACTATAACTTACTGAACCAACCCGCTATCTATGGATACTTGGTTGTTTCCAGTCTTTTACTCTTATAAACAAATGCAATAAACAATAAAAGAGTCTTATGCCTATATCATTTCCCACATTTCCTCTCATGAACAATAAAGAAACTGAAACCTATATCATTTCCTATGTTTTCAGGTGTATTTGTAGGCTAATTTCCCAGAAGCAAGATTGCTGGATTCAAGTGTAAATGAATTTGTAATTTTAATGGCTATGGTTGGATTCCCCTCAAAAGGGTGCCATCTCTTCAAATCTCACCGACAAAGTGTGATGTCAATATTTTGGAATTTTGTCATTCTGATAGGAAATAAATGATTTCTCAGTGTAGTTTTTATTTCAATCGCTTTGCATTTCTCTTATTATGAGTTAGGTTAAGCAGCTTTGTAGTACGTTTAAGAGTGATTTAACTTGTATCCTCTCTGAGTGCTGTACAGTACATGAATCCATCGTGTTCTCATCTAGCAATATTTTCTTGGGCTCACTTGGTCAAATAATGAATTTTTAAAAACCCATTTTATCTTTTAAGATGAGATTCACTTTCTTAAATATCTGTCTTTTATATTCAACTACTGTAATTTATATCCTATGATAATTCCTACACTCATATAGACACTATATATACACGTGTCCTCATATATACACTATTTTTCAAGCAAAAATATCTGTCTGCTGCGTAGGTTGTGACTGCATTACAAATGCTATCTCTGACATTAAGTGGGTTCTGTAAGCGTAAATACTGAATGACATGAATTTGCACATTCCCATCTACACAGTATCCCTTCAGGTTTCTACACTCATGCATTTTAGAGTTATTCAGATGATTTTTTACATTACCATCCCCCAACCCACTGCCACACACAGAGATGTCATACATTTTCAAGACCTGCTGAGATTCAGGATAAATGACCATCACCCAGAATGAGGATGCCCTGTATCTTCAATGCTGGCTTCCGCTCAGAGGGGTAACACTTGTGACTGCCCACCCTTTCTTAATATTCACATAGGGAGTAAAATGACTCATGCCTGCAAAGGCAACATAAGAGTTGATGGGGTCCTCTTTCCACCCCTAGATTGCAAAGCTGCCTTCTCCTTTGTCTTTATCCTGGATGCCTTGAGGTTTGCTTCAGTTGCTGCTACTAACACCTCTGCCACCATGACCATGGACACTAATTTTGGATACATCTACCGTTTACTGTTTTCTTATCTCAGCTTTGTTACTCCTTCTTCCCCTTCCTCCTTTCATTTCTTGTCTCTTGCCTCCTGACCTTGTCTAACAGGCAAAGCCTAGCCCTTTATGGACAATCCTAGGCAATGGAGCCCATCCCCCATGTCCAGTCCAGCGTGTTCTGGCAGCTCCACCCACGAATGGATATAAAAGAAAACAACCGTGGTGTTTTGAAAATGGAATGCATTATTATATGCAAAATCTTTGTAAAAGCGACTTACTATATTGTGTAACCTCATGACTGAACGCAGAATTAGATCATGGGCCTTGTCAGGGAGACGTATTTGAGCCCCAACACCCAAAAGAAAAGAGATGAGAAAAACATGGGGCAGGGAGATGCCCTCTTCCTATTCCTATAAGCCAATTTCAATCAAAGAAATCCACATCATACAATGGCAAGTTGAAAGGATGCCCTTTCTAACAGTATGTAATCTGACCAACAAAAGCCAGTTTTATGCTATATATGCACATGCATGCAGACATACATATGTATATGGTTATGTGAGCAGAAAGAAAAATATGGAAAGATACCCCACTACACGGTTATCATGGGTCTTTGGCTGGTGTGGTGGAAAGGGGCAGGTATGAGGAAAAGAAAGGCTGGTGGGAGTCAGACAAAGTAAAGGAAAAAAGACTGCCCTTGAAAAGTGTACATGATCACATTTATATACTTATGTAAGTTACATACATATCTGTACAAAGAAATTAAATTAAAATGTGTTAAAGAAAGAAAGAAAGGGAGAGAGGGATGGAGAGAGGGAGGGAAGGGGCCTTGGACATCACAAACCCACAGTCATTTTACCTGTGGGAAAAGAGTCCCAGGGAGAGCAAGGGACGAACCAGGGAGCTCTGATCAGATGGTGGCAGAGCTGGGGCAATCCTGGATGGCTTCGCTTCCTGAGAGCAGACCCCGGGAGTAGGGTTAGGGTTAGGTGCTCCTGTGCGCTAAGGATCTGAACTCGGGAAGGAGTTCAGAGAAGCTGGTTGCTGAGGCCCCCTGGTGTGTACGTCCAGAGGTTTCCCAGGGAAGAGACAGCAGCTGCGCTTCTGAAACAACCGCAGCTCTTAGCTATGGTTTGCTGGTCTTTGCTGGTCTGTGGGAGGCGGGAAAATGTGCTCATTTATTGTACCCTCATGCCATCAGCACAATACATGCAATAAAAGCCAGGAGACCCTGGAGATCATGTCACATGTAAGCCAGGACTGCGGTTGTGGGGGTGAGAAAAGGCTCACCAGACTACCATGGAGACCAGGGTGCCATCTCCTCTATCATAAGGCAGGGGCCATCCAGATTTTGAGGGGCCGGAAGGGAGGCCTTCTTCAAGAAAAATGATATAAATCTGTATTACTTTTGCATATTTTATAAAAACATATGTCCATGGGTGCATATTGCTAGGACCCCCAACCCCCATCCCCACCCAGTGCCTTGGAAGGGGTGGTGTGAGGGAGGGGATATGAAGCTAGAAGTTCTAAGCTTGGATGCAAACCATCCTCAGCACTAGGGCCAAGCTCTTTAGCGGCACAGCCCCACTGGCATCCACATCCAGCTCTGCCAAGCTCGCCACACATGGCTGCACCGTCCCCACGGTGACAGTGCCTATGAGGTGATGCATGATTCCCAACAGTCACCCAGGAACTTCGCCTCATGCCATTCACATAGGCAATATTGCTGGGTTTCTAAACCATATAGATGATTGTAGCAGCTAATGCTCTGTGGGATTTAAAACAAGGTATGACAATTCAGCCTCTTAACTGGGATTATCTCTAAGAGTATGTGTGGTAATGGAGTGGAGAGAAGTGAGTCAGAGATGAAAGGTAACGTTCACTTATTCCCTATATATGTCTCTACATTGTTCATTTAAAACTATGTTTAAATACTTATGTTAAATTTGTCATTCTTTTTTTTAATTTTCAGCTAAAAAAGTAAAAGAAATAATTAAGCTGTGCTAAAATAACTTTCATCTCTCTTTAAAAAAAGTCCAGTAAGGCCAGAAATACTCACTTGAAAGTACCGTGCCACAAACCCAGCACAGCCAGCATCGTAGGGTTCATTGCATTCAAGTGATCCCTAATATAACTGCTTGCAGCCAGAAAAGACTTCCTCCAAGGTTTTGGAAGAATTTGCATTCTGAAAACAAAGAGAAAATATTCAGTTACCTTCTTTAAAAATCAAAAGAAAGTATTTTTATAATCAATGTACTTTTCTAGTAGTAATGGTTTAATTTTAATAAAAAATATGAGGTATCCCTCATGGAAATAACAAATCATGTAATTATGTTTAAAATATATAAAAGTCACACTCCTTATGGTTTAGTATAATTTCAGCGTAATAATTAATGCATTTGAAATTAGATTTGAATCTTTAACATAACGTAATTAACTTTTTTCTCTAAATACTTGATCCTAATGAGTCCGCAAATAACTCGTAATGATCAAACAAACAGTAGCCAGCTGTTTCATATACATCTTGAAAGATTCTCTTAATTTCACAACATAAAACATTTAGATTTTTCCTTTATTTTAAAGATATTTTAAGGATATAGTCCAGCCTGCCTTTGGATATCCCCTTGAACTTCACCTCTGTTAATGTGTAAAGGTCACTTAGAAAATCACAAACACTATCGTTTTTATTTGAAGACATTTATTCTGGAACTCCCATGACATGAATAATCTTTTATATATTGAATATGTGCCATCTTCATCTTTCAGAGTATATTTTAACATTGACCTTTTATGTCTATAATTTTTCTGCTTTCATTGATTTTAAACACTTAGTCTTGTTTTATTACATAGTAAGTTTAATTCAGTTTTTCAGTCGTGGCCATATCACTTTTACAATGACAAAGGATGATTTTTGTCTATCCCCAGTAGAAAAGTTGTTCTCCATAGACGATATGTTGGAAATGGCTACATGAATTTTTTTTTGTAGTTATGGGAAACAATTGGGGGCACTTTTAAATGTGATAAAGGAAATAAAGTAAAACTGAATTGGTTACTTAATCATACAAATATAAGTTCTATTTTTCAAACTATTTAAGATGTTTATTCCTAAATGTTAATTACTTTAGGGAAAATATATAGAAAGTCGATATTCCCATTATGTACTCTATATTTTAATCCATGTAATAAATTTAAATATATTCTACACATGCATATTTTCTACCATGTTCCTAATGTGTTTCTAGGCATTCAAATTGCCATCAAGCTTTTTTTTTTTTTTTTTTTTTTTAAATTTTTTTTTTTTTATTTTTTTCCCCCCAAAGCCCCAGTAGATAGTTGTATGTCATAGCTGCACATCCTTCTAGTTGCTGTATGTGGGACTCGGCCTCAGGATGGACGGAGAAGTGGTGCCTCGATGCGCACCCGGGATCCGAACCCGGGCCACCAGCATTGCAGCGCGCGCACTTAACCACCAAGCCACAGGGCCGGCCCGCCATCAAGCTTTTATGTCCCTATTAATCTGAAGTGTGTGCTAGGAGCTGTGCAGATACAAAGATCTACATTCTTTCACCAGGGTACTTATGTTTTAACCACCTAGATGTCCATCTGTCTGTGTGTCTATGTGTCTACCCATCTAGCCATTAATTTGTAAATGTAACATGTCAGGGCTTAAATACGTAAGTAAACAAAGATAGTGAGAACAATCAGTGGTACATATGAAGTACATAAACTATAAACATATATATGAGAAAACATAACTGGTGTACAAATATATACACATACACAGGAATGCTCACACAACCAACATTCTTAGAACAAAGTGATTGCTTACTCAGCACGATGGGGTAGAAGTTCATCTGCCTTTTTATCATCTTTTTCTCTAGGATCTTTTAAAACAAAATCAACTAAAAGAAAATTGAAAAGTTATGATCAATAACCTTATATTAATTATATTTCAAAGCAATTGCAAAACTAATTTCATTAAATTGTTTAAATTATGTTACATTTTTTAAAATAATAAGCAATTTGTGCATTTATGAATAGAAGAAAACAAAAAAATTTTTATGAGAAAATCTGATGTCTGTGTCTTTGAGAGAATATGTTCCTTTTCTTAACAATGTCCCTGCTCTTTCATTTGAACTAATAATTGCTTTTAATATTACAGTTCCCTTTATAGCTATTCCACCAAAAGTAGTTCTTGCTGAACCGAAGATCAACAGTACAGAATGGTAGTGGTTTCCTTTCACTGAGGAAAGATATGTATTGTCTTGTTCTCTTTTAAACTGCTTAAGAGCAGGAGACAACCTTGTATAAAATCAGTAAAGTGAGCTACTTCTGCTTCTGTCTTCTGTGGTCTTTAATTCACAATTAATTCTAATTTTCCTGCCTGTCTTTCAAGATGCTCTTTCTAAAATGCAAGTATGTTATTACCCCTCTGCTTAAAATACTTTAGTGACCCTCCTTTATTTTCAAGTGCTTTTAAAAAGCATATAAGGTTCTTCGTATTCTGTCGCCTTCCCAACATGCACCCTCTGCTTTGGCCGTCAGAACTGCTTAGGAGCATGGAAGAGCCTTTCACGCGTGTCTGCCACTGTTCACACCTTTTCCTTGGCCCAGCATGTTCCCTAGCACACCGTCCATCCTTCAAGACTCTGTCCAGAGGCCCCCAGAGTCCCTCCTACGAAGTGGGGCAGGACCTCTTCTCCCTTAGAGTGGGTCTTCCATTTTCCTCCTCACCACACCTACTGCTCTGCTTTGTAATGTAGTGATTTGTCCATCCCCCTCATTACGCCATGAACTTTTTGGGAGCAAGAATTTGGTTTTTTATTTTTATATTATTAGGATACTCAATAAGAGTCTTAAATGCAATGAATGCTCTCCTTCCTCAGGGGTCTCCAGACCTTGCCAAAGCATTATGATTTCTTCAACTTTGGACATAACATCAATTATACCAGGTTTACTATCACAACCAATTGGAGAACCTTTTTAAAAAGTATAGATTCAGAGGCCCTGTCTCCAGAGATTTTAATTCAGATGGGTCCAGAAATCAGAATTTTAAAAATGATTCCGACGATTAGTTCAGTCTTAGCATCTATTGATCTATACCATGAGTTAACAAACTTTCTATGTAAAGGGGCCAGATTGTAAATATTTTCAACTTTGTGAGCCACAAAGTCTCTATCACAACTATTCAACTCTGTTCTTATAGCTCAACAGCAGCCATAGGCAATATGCAAATTAATGTGTGTGGCTGTGTTCTAAGAAATAGGCAGTGGGCTAGATTGGGCCTGTGAGCTGTAGTTTACCAACCCCTGGTCCACAGCAACAATTTTGCAATTAATCACATTCTAATTTATGATATCCGTAATATTAATGTTAATTAAATAATTAATTAACATCTTATCATTTTCTTCAGTTCTGTCCTTTGTTGAGGGCATATATCCCTACAAATAGAAAGACTGGTTTTTTAAAAATTTTTTGTTGTACTTTATTAATAAAATTTGCCTACGATCTTAAGCAATGCAACAGTAATACAAAAAACAGCATAATAAATAGTTACAGGTATAGGTATTGACTTTCAATTAAAAAAATTCATGCTTCATGAGTCACATATCCAAATTAAAGAGCAAGGAGAAATACTGATTTACCTATGGATTTTTTTACACTAAGAAGATAATCTTCTCTCATTTCATCAGATAATGCAAGTATGCTGTTAGTGAGGACTTTCAGATGTTGGGGGACTAAATTCAATACATTCTCTAGCCAAGAATCTTCCATTGGGGCTACGTAGTCCGTATCAATTCCATGGTGAATATAATAGTAATATCTCTACATAAAGGAAACCAGAAATGTAGATGAGTTTAGTGCTATAATAAAAGAAGTGTGTTTATTAAAAATAAAACTATTGAGCAAAATTAAAGTTTTAGGAGAACAAAATATTTACGAATCATAAAAATGCATTTTATGCAATTCATGTAGGCATTATTTGAGATCTCCTAAATTAAAAAAATATATATAGTATTTCATGAAAATTAAAGCTCTTCTTTTAGTTCATAACTCCACTTTAAAATATCAAGTTATATTACCAAATATATGATGTACTGAACAGAGCCCATGCAGAAGTAGAGTTTAGTGTTTTATAAATGTGTGAAAATTTGGTATGTTAGTTTTTATCCTTTTCTTATTGATAATCAAAATATGAAAAGCTTCAAATGAATCCGTATCCCTACATGTTAATCTCAGAAATATTATACAACAGGACTTAGGAAATTTTCAATTGGCCTATTAACATTCCACACTATAATTTTATAGTTGCTATTAAATGTGTGCACAAAATATTCATTTTAAGACATGACAGTATTTCTCTAACAGTGGGCATTTAACTTCAATATATTTTCACAAGAAATTTTTATATGTCACTTATTAGAAAAAAACTTAAACATCAACATACTTTCAAATTAGCAATGTTAAAATCTTTGATGTTTATATTTTTTAAAAATTCTGTATTTGAAATACTCAGAGAATTACTATTTCTATAGTAAGTTAATATGCTTTGTAATGTATACATTAATTAAGATAATATCTCATAGAAGAATAAAGACATGTAAAAGCTATCCAAGACTGAGGCTAACTTTAACAAAGGGAGCAGGTAAACTTGGGATTCTTTGATTGTGGTCTTAGGCAGCAAGAGAGAGAACGATTTCCTTCACTAACCCAAGAGAGCAATTTTATGGAACTCTGTATTCACTCCTCCCACCATAGAGCTTCACAAGGGAGGAGCAGAGAATAATCTCACAAGTAAAAAAGTATTTTCAAGTGCTTTCTTTACTTTCAATTATATTGACAAAAGAAATAGCCCGTTACCAAGATGTCTTTCTCTATTGCAGAAGTGGTCTGCTTCGGAAATGTGCTTTCTTCAAGGGTAGGTGAGTCTAAGACAGCATCTTGTTGCCTAAGCAAATGATAAACACACTATTCAAAAGTGTATAAAGGGCAGTTAGAACATAAACCAATAGATATAAAAACATCAGGACTGTGTTATATTAAATCATAAGAAAAAATGAACTGCTGAACATTTTATAAATAGTATACATATTTGTTTGGTACCATATTCCTCCCAGAATACTTTCTCTATTTATAGAGAAACAGTTATACTGGAAATGATTTGCAAGACCTAATTCAGAGGCCACACCCTTCTTGATGGACTTTACTCATTCTTCTTCACTACTCTAAAATCAAGCTCTCTCTTCTCTGAAATTTTATAGGAGCGTTCTTGCATTATTCCTAAACTATGTGTAGTTATTTATAAATATGAGGTTTAAAAGAGCACTGATGGAAAAGACTTTAAATTTGGTTTTGCAGAAGACACAGATACATTCTTCAAAAAACCATTTCTCAGATTTCTAGAGATATACAGTACAAGTCAGCAATGAGTGACATAGCAGCTCATATGCTCCTTTGTATTTATTATTGGCTAAGTGTTCATATAACACTATAATGTTTATAGCTATAATTCAATTCAAAATCTATACGAAATACGAGCCACATTTTGTGACTTCTTCTGGGGTTTCGCTGTGCAGAAATATAGTTCGCATAGTTCACATCTTCAGGAAAAAATAACAAGTTGTTCTGGGATAGCTTTAACCTCTTTATCATTGAATGTATCATGCTCTGGATCCCAGCTTCACCTGGGATGTTGATCCGGTCAGCAATGCTGTATGATAAAATACTCCTTCCTACTAACTGTACAGTGAGTAGAGACTAGAGGTTTGTTGAATATCTCTCTGAGACACCCTACCAAGATAGGTACCCAGAGTATGAAAGGAGTGGTGGGAGATCTTCAAGGTATTCTGTAACTGGAGAGAGAAAGGTTAATTATTCCAACTACAAAAGTAACCATCTCATTATTTTGTTCATTGTACAGTAAAGAGGTACTAATATGACAGCAATGTACTTCAGGAATCAGGACATCTGGGTTCAGATTCTGCCACTATAAAGTGCACGACCTTAATAACTGGGTTATTGGGGTTTTTCTAATGGCAGAAATGCTCATCTTATCTACCTTGCTGAATCCTGAGAATCAAACAAACTTCATCCTCTGTGTGAGTAATGCCTGCCTCGAAGGATGCAGCAAGATTAGGATAGGTGAAGAGGAAGAAGGTTGGGGTCTATAGGAACTGCTGCAGAAGTTCCTGCAGTCAGTATGAAAATCCTTTCAGCTCTAAAACTCTATGATTCTATCATTCTGTGGCTACAGGCAAAGATTTTGTTCACTGGGAACCATAATAATAGAAGCTTTTTATTGATCACCTAGTCAGGCTCTAAATAGTCTCACATATGTTATCTCTAATCCTCACACCTATTGTTAAAGGAGACATAATGGCATAGTTATCTCCACTTCACAGATGAAGAAACTGAATGACAGAGAGATTGAATAACTTCCCCTTTGTCATATAGTTAATTAAGTACAAAAACAAGAATTTGCCCATCCACACATGTTTCCAAACTGCCATGCTCTTTCCAACAGAATAACATTCCATTCAGAAATAAAACAATCAACACAGGAGACACTTTTACTAGTTAAAGAGAAAATATGATGTACTTTGTTTCTCAAAAATGAAAAGAAATATATTGATTTTTTTCTCTCTTTATTAAATAAATAGAGGCTTTGGTTCAAGATGGTGGCATAGATATCCATTTTTTCAAATTTCCTTGTGAAAATGGTTGTAAAGTAGTTTTAACCAATGATTGTGAAGATACTACAGGGTCATCAGCTGAGGAGATATTTCAACAAATTTCTGGAAAATGAAAAGAAGACAGCATACAGACGAAACACAGTTGAAAACACCATGGCCCATAACTCATGCAGGAAGGAAACCAGTCTGCCTAGGAGACGCCTAGAAAAGGCTCTGGTTTTGCAATCAGCAGGTACCAAAGGAGGAAATGAGTAGGAAGGCTGAAAACAAGGAAGTTGTGTGAACAACTTTACGCCAGCAAATCAGACAACTTAAATAAAAAGAATGTGTGTTCTGCATAAAAGGCAAAAAAGCACCAAATATGACTCAAGAAGAAATAGAAAATCTGAATAAATCTATAGCAAGTAATTAACTTCATAATTAATAATTTTCCCACAAAGAAAAGTCCAGGTCTAAATGGTTTCACTAATAAATTCCATCAAATAAGTAAGGAAAAAATAATACCAATTCTACACAAACTCATTCAAAAAATAAAGGAGGTTAAAAACACTTCCCAACTCATTTTATGAGGCCAGTAGTGCCTTGATACAAAAGCCAGACAAAGATATCACAAGAAAAGTACAGACCCATATCACTCATTAATATAGACTTGAAAATCCTATATTTGCTAACAAAACATTAGCAAATCGAATCCAGCAAATTATAAGAAAGATGATACATGATGACTAACTGAGAGGAATGCAAGTTTTCTTTAACATATGAGAAGCGATTAATGTAATATACCATATTAATAGAATAAAGGACAAAAACCAAATGACCATCTCAATGGACATCAAAAAAGCATTTGACAAAAATCTAGCACCCATTTATGATAAAACCTCTCAACAAACTAGGAAAAGAAGAGAACCTCCTCAACCTGATAAAGAGTATCTTAAAAACCTACAATAACATCCTACATAAATGTGAAAGATTGAATGCTTTTCCCCTAAGACTGGGAATTCCACTCTCACCAATTCTATTCAACAACTTACTGAAGGACCTAACAAGTGCAAAATGGAAAGAGACACAAATGAAAGGCATCTAGATTGGAAATAAAATAGTATAACTATCTTCATTTGCAGACAACATGATTGTATATATAGGATATTCTAAGGAAACTTTTTTTTTTTTTTAATTGATGTTTTAATGGTTTCTAACATTGTGAAATTTTGGGTTGTACATTTTTGTTTGTCCATCACCACATATATGACTCCCTTC